TGGGTCTACACCAAGAAAACTATCAGTGAACTCAGTGATTCTGCTGCTTCTCTCACTGAGACGTAGGAAATGGTGTGACTTCCAGATCTGCCAAAGGCACATAATTACCTGTCTGATCTTCTGCCTGTACCTAGTCTATTCATTCCATCATAATCATGCTCTGACCTTTTTCAATCCTTTCTCCACTATCTGTCATTCTTACATTTCTTTTTTTTTAAATGTGAGTCATCAATTTTTACATGCATCTAAGAGTCAATACAAAGGAGGGATAGGCTATACAGGCTAATCCAAAGTTTTGGAGGAATCTTGGGAAGTATAAATCCTTGGGTCTGTCCACTATGTTCTTCCTATCTTATGTATCAGGGCCCTATGTTTCCCTGCTGGAACCCTGATCTTGGCATAATAAACTTGTTTTGTCTGGATATTTAACCAGGTCTAAGGTTTAGCCTCTTTGACAATGAAGTCCTGGGGTTGATTATTAGCCTACCCTCTGCTGCACAATGTGAGAGCTTTTTGATAGCAACCAAGAGTCTGAATTTCACATAAGCTATATAGTTGCCAAGTGCTCATCACCAACTGTCCAGAGAACATGACTGCAACTTATATAAATTCTCATATAATGTCAAGTCTCAACAAGGAACCTAAATTTCAGCAAAGAAAGCTCAGTAGATGGGAAACTACCATGAAATTCTCTTGTTCCTTCTCAAACTGCATTACCTGAATTCCACAAGTCTCTTAGAGTGAAGAAAATCCCTGTTAAAATCAAAGGGTCAGCTCAGTCATGACCCCTAAGAGATTGGAGCAATATCCTGTGGGATGTAATATTCAACCTAAGTCAAAATTTATTATGTTATTTTTCTTAAATAAGGAGAAAACATGAGCCTGGTAGTGGAAATCAGTGTTGTCATTACTGAACATCACTTCCAGTTACCTACTCAGGGACTTTGTGATTTCCTCTTTCATTCTGACAGGCACAGTTAGTTTAGGGGTCCTAGTTTCATTGGTGGGAGTATTACACTAAAGACCATATATTCCTATTAAACTTTCAGTTAGTAGACCACCATATCATTCTAAGAAAATAATTGATTGATTCTTTATAATCAACCTGAAATAGAACTGATATTCAGTGTAGTAACATGGCCAAGAATACACTTGCCATTAGATGATCTTTGGCATCTCTTGACATTTTTTGCTCAGTATTGATTGTAAATGGTCAAATGCAAAAGTCACAGTCACAGTTTTCAAAGCTTATGGTGGCCAAGGGTGAACTGCTAGCTAAGGATGGCAAAAATCTAAGATTGATAGAGCAGAGAGATGACATAAAGTTAGAGCCTCAGGACAGCTATAGTGCAGATGGTTAATCTGATCCTCCCACTAACCATCCTCTTGTCACTTCCCAATGAAGAAATAAAAAAACTACATGAATTCTGGAGAAGCTGATTTCAGAATTTACCATTGATACATTTGGATCCAAGTATGCAATGGTTGTTGAATAATGATTGGTGCATCACCCAGATCTCATGATCATGCCAGATCTGAAACACCTATTCCTCCAGTGAGAGTGTTACAGATGACAGCCCTTATTCAAGCCCTTCATGAGAATTTTTTCTTCTGAATGGGGCTACCAATGTCATATACCCTTCTTGTGGGAAGACCACTTTTCATGATCTGTCATTAAGAAAACTCAGGGTTTTCTTTCCATTCAGAAAGATACTGAAGAGTCATTATATTAACTCCAGAAATTTCTTCAAATTTGAATGTAGCCTTTGATACAGTTGAATAGAGTTCAAATTCTCTCTGTTAGTTGTAATGTTGTACTTTCTTTCCACTTAGCTGTTTAAGTTAAAAGCACTCTCCCAATATACTTCTGCACACAAATGTTTACTTCAGTGTTCAACTTAAAGGGAATCAACCAATGACAACATCATTATCAAAGAAAAATACAAATGGATCAAGGGGAATAATTCTTTGCATGTCACATCACAATAAAAGGTTAATTGATTTATATGAAAAGCACTCTCACAAACTAATAAATAAAATTTTAAAAATGAACAAATTGTGTACATAGACTGGCTTTCAAAAAGAAACTCAAATGGTCTTGAACATGAAGACTACCTATCTCTCATTTTATCAGCAAGAAGCAAAAATGAATCTATAAACTCAATTATAATGTCACAAATATAATCACCTAGGAAAATAAAGTGTGACAAAAGAAGGTGAAAGAATAATTATGTTGGATGGAGAAGGAGAGACTTCATAGGTTACTAATGGCTAACACAACATGTAATGGGAATTCAACTGAACCCTTCTTGAATCCACTCTTACTTAAAGACTCACTTATGCAAAAAAAATCTGTGGACATTGTGGACATCTTAGTCCCTCAGTGTATAGCTTGCAGAGTTTTAATTCCCAGGAGACTTTGTTCTACTAAAAAAGCATCAGGATACAAGGATCAGAATTAGACTGCAAGGATCTGTATCTGTGCCTAACAATTGAGGTTGGGGTGGCTTCTTTCTGGGCTCATCCCTTTTTGACCTTGAAATGTACACTAAGTGGCAGACAGCTTGGTAAGTACTTAAACACTAAGGTTCCTATGGTGTATCTCATTGATCATCAAACTTATACCTGAAAAGCTAATATGATTTTACTGTTTAAGCATCACTCACTATTCATACAGTAATAATAAGAAGTTGCCTAAATATTTTGTAGTGATGTTCAAATCTGGAAAGAGCTCTAGTGTATTATCAAATAAATTAGCATATTCATTAATCTTTCACAAAATTGATGTCTTCTGATCATGTGCTCTAATAGGTAACATCAGTAAAATTGTTTCTAGGTTTTTATGTAAGATTATATTTAGTATTATAAAATAAGCCAAATTCAATATATTAACTTCCACTCACCAAAAAAGTATCAATAATAGATAATGTAAAAAAAGGGTCATTGCCATTCTCCATAGACAAATGGAAAGATGGATGCTAGATATTTGTTACATAGGTAAATAAATACCTAGATACATAAATTCATAAATGCCAGGTGACAGATACATAGATAATGGAATTCAGTGTAAAAATATAATCCTTCATTGGAATTGAATTCATGGATCAACTTGGCTCCTAGTCTAGAGATGTATTGGTTTTTGACAATTTAATAACTGAAAGGAACTCAACACAATAGTGTTCCACATTTGAAAATGGAACAGTTGAAGGTAACTTTTATGGGATATGAAGCTACTAATCCATATGGCATACAGAAGTATCTGTTGTCAGAGCGCAGGTCTGCAACGTATAACAAGCTATATCTTGGGATAGGTGGAATAAATTGGGCAAAACTGCATTTAGGTTATCTTTTGAAACATGATCTCTTATCTATCATTAAAAAAAACTGATAATATTGGCAAAGTTCAGGGAATGAGGAAGACCAAACATCATGTCTAATTTGGGAGCATGAACAAAAATACATCATCACACAAATAAGGAAATTTCCACTGAAGATGAGATTTTCAGTAAAAATTCAAAGATAAGCATGAATACAAACAGTGAGAAAGACACTGGACAACTTCAATAGTGAGGAGAGAAGGAATGGAGATTTGTTGTTCAAAAGGTGTAAAATTTCAGTTAGAAGAAACAAATGTTTAGGATTTGTTGCACAACATGGTTACTATAGTTAATAACAATGTATTGTAAATCTCAAAGTTGCCTAAAGAGTGAATTTCAAAAGTTCTCACCACAAAAACTAAATGTGTGAGATGAATGATACCTTAATTTGCTAAATATAATCATTCCATCCATACATATGTGCACATATATATAAAAAATCACATTGTGCCCCATAAATACATACAGCTACTGTCAATTAAAAATAAAAATAAATTCAAAATAACATAAAATGTCATAGCAACAGCAAAATAATTGAAAAGTAATGGGGGGATTATTAGATACAAATTGAAATATGTGGCCATCCAAAATGACCTTCACTCAAAAAGAAAAATGGGTAATTGAAACAAACTTAATAGTCAGGATACATTTGAGACCAGACACAAATAAAAACAGAATTAGTAAATAAGAAGATGGTATCAAGGGGTGCTCCCAAAATATAATACAAATGAATAAAGAAGTTGGGAAATGTGAAACAATCTAACTAGGAAATTGGATTTAGACATCTGAATATTTTTCAGATAGACTGCTTGAGTAGATAATATTGAAAAGGATAATGATTGACAATATTCAAAATTAAAGAAATACATGATCTCTTGATTAAAAATGCTCACAAAGATCTAAGCCAAATAAATGAATAAGTAACCCCCCTGGAGCAATGCATGTTGAACTGCAGACCTCAATCATAAAGAGAATATCAGAGCTTGACATGATGGCACACACCTATAATCCCAGGTAGGCTGAGCAGGAGGATCACAAGTTCAAAACCAACCTCAGCAGCTTGACCATACCCTGTCTCAAAATAAAAAAAAAATAAATAAAAAGGGCTGACTGGTAGAGCACCTCTGGGTTCAACTCCCAGTACCAAATGATATAAATTAAACATATATATCTACACACACACACACACATATATATACATATATGTATTCATATATATTATATTGAAATTTTAAGCAAATTCTATTCAAGATGTAGATAATAGTATTTATGTGAAAAGAAAAAGTTTTAGGTTTTAAATTGGATAATAGGCACCTTTATAAATTTTTTTAGTTCTGCAAAAGTCTTTAAGATTTGAATCTGTTGTTATCTGCACCTGTTGTAAGATTAGATTTCAAGGTCAATTTTTACATTCTTCATTTTTGCTTTTAGTTGGATATTGATGTTTACCTCTTTACCCATCTATTTTTCTCCATTTAGGTTTATATCTTAGAATTATGCTTATAATGCTTGATTTGGTAAGACCTCAGTGATTACAAACGGATAATCAGGCATTTGAGACAATCTATCTGCATCACTAGAAGACATCTCTTCCAGCCTTTCATCTTGATCTCACATCCTGGCATGTCCGTCCTCAACACATCTGAAATTGAAATCTCTACTTTCTATTTGGTCGGGATCCCAGGGATGGAGCCTGCTAGCATTTGGGTCTCCATCCCCATATGTCTCATGTACATTGCTGCTATCCTGGGGAACTGCACCATCCTTCTTTTAATAAAAACAGAGCCATCTTTGCATGAACCCATGTATTATTTCCTCTCTATGTTGGCTTTCTCTGACCTAGGTCTCTCTCTCTCCTCTCTCCCTACCATGCTTAGGGTTTTCTTGTTTAATGCTCCAGAAATTTCTCCCAATGCCTGTTTTGCCCAAGAGTTTTTCATTCATGAATTCTCAGCTATGGAGTCATCCGTACTTCTCATTATGTCCTTTGATCGCTTTATTGCCATCTGTAACCCCCTGAGATACATGGCCATCCTTAGTAGTGCCAGAGTCATTCAAATTGGGCTTGCTTTTTCTCTGAAAAATGTTTTGTTGATCTTACCTTTCCCTTTCACTCTAAAGCATCTAAGATACTGTAAGAAGAAGCATCTGTCGCATTCCTATTGCCTCCATCAGGACGTCATGAAGCTGGCCTGCTCTGATAACAAGGTTAATGTCGTCTATGGCTTATTTGTGGCTCTCACAGGCATCCTGGACATAACCTTTATTTTCATGTCCTATGTGCTGATTCTGAAGGCAGTGTTAAGCATAGCATCACAGAGGGAAAGGCTCAAGGTCCTCAATACCTGTGTCTCCCACATCTGTGCTGTGCTCATCTTCTATGTGCCCATTATCTCTCTAGCTGTCGTCTACCGGTTTGCCAAACACAGTTCTCCAATAGTTAGGATCTTTATGGCTGATGTTTTCCTGATGGTGCCTCCATTGATGAACCCTATTGTATACTGTGTGAAGAGCCAGCAGCTAAGAAGTTTGGTCTTAGGGAAACTGTGCCAGAAGCAAAGCTGATGGGGATGCTTAATCACATAAAACCCCAATCAATAAACGACACAGAACAAACTGAACAATCAATAAGGAACCACACTGTATGTGAATTGCTTCATATCATCTCTCAATATTTTACTAGGATTGAAAAATCAGCCTTACAAATTCATTGGCTTAGGTTTAGGATTTTGAAGACCTGATATAAACACAGAATATATTCCTACTTTCACCAAGTGAGCATTACCAACTTTGTAAACATAGTTTTCTCCTTGCTCGAAGAAATGTTCAATGCATTCACTTGAAAATTAATAATGAACATTTGTGTAACAACTGGGTAGTGATCCTAAGTGACTAAAGATTGTCTGCTTATTTAAAATAGTTTTCTTCAACATGTAATTTTGGCCTCAGTGAGATATGCCCCTGCCTTTTAGAAACTGAAGTTAAGATGGACAATGAGACTCTTATACATGAAATCATTCAAATATGCCCATATGAAAAGTTTACAAAAGCAAAGGAAACATTTTCTTCCTTCACTTATTTCATTTTCTTCAACATTTCCTTACTCAGCATTCAAATGTCATATTCTAAGCAGTGCTGTGTAGGTAGCTCCTTGTCTTCTATGGGAGTACCACCTAACAGCATAGATTTTCTCTGACCAAACTCTAATCTGACCATCTTCTCAGCCAGGACTCAACTTTTGGATTTCCAGGGTACCCTCCACATTTTCTATTTGAAAAGAAAGTGGGATGAGTTTTTGATAAGGAAAAGTGAGATAAAAAGTGAGATATGAAAGATATGATTTTATTCAGGAGAAAAAATAATTTCACTTTATAGTAGAAGGACTGAGTATTCCAAAATGAGAAAGTGAACAACTTGTATGGACATCTTAAAAAAACTAAAAATGGTGTGAAAAGTAGTATTAGAAATGGAATATTATATGTACTCAGTCTGACTAAATATTTAAATGTTTATATTTTAAAAAATAAATATTTAAATATCAAAAAGCACACAAACACAAAAGCAAAACAAGAAAGTTTCTGGTTCATTGGTTTACTCTTAATTGTAAAATGTCTTCTCCTTTTTAGGAATTTGCCTTGGGAATTAGAGTTTTGTGACTTGATTTCTGTGCTGTATGCTCACTTTGTATCATACTCTTTATTATTTAAGAGAACCAAAACTTCTCACTTTTAAAAGAGTTTAGTATTTTGTTTTGTTTTGTCATGTATTGTTTTAATGTTGCTATCCCAAAATCAATTCCTAAATGAAATCTTCTTGATTTTTTAACTAAACTTGAGATTTTCTAGAAGGCCCCTTGAAAACTCAAAACAAAAAATTATTTTTATCACCTTGTAAAGAGAAATATTTTTTAAAATTTTGATTTGTTTGGCATACTAATGCATGGGAAGCATTATCAAATGAGAAGAGAAAATATAACTACTACAGGTTGTACTTTTATGGTAAAATATTGTCACTAAAAATTACATAAAGTTAATAGAATTTTATCAATACCCTTGCTATGCATAATATGCCTTGATATGATGCTGCTTATAATAATGCTAGCAAATATTTTCTGCTTTATGTCACAGAAACAATCACATTTTCTTGTTAAATAAACTCTCATCAGATCATAAGAAGCTGACAGTGTCTTAAAACTGCTAACAAAAAAAAAAGCAAAACAAACTGTGTTACATTGAATAGTACTGAATGACCTTGTAAAGGATGACTATAGATCTTGTTTTGGAACACAGCTGATTCTTTAATGTGCTTATTTCTGACTGTAGAGAAACTCTCTTTTGTCTTAAGCCAGATATAAATTATAGAAATTTACTAGATTTTATTTTATAAATGAAATGCAAATCAAAACTACACTAAGATTTCATCTCTCACCAATCAGAATGGCAGTCATCAAGAAAACAAACAAATGCTGGAGTGGATGTGGATAAAAAGGAATGCTTTCATACTGTTGGTGGGGTTGTAAATTAGTAGAAAAACTATGGAAATCTTTATGGAGGTTCCTCAAAAGATTAGGCATGAAATCACCATATGACCCAAGTACATCACTCATTGGTATTTATCCTAAAGAATCAAAGACATCATACCACAGTGGTACATATATACCCACGTTTATAGCACTCAAACTATGTTTCACAAAAGCCAAACTATGAAATTAGCCTCAGTGTTCAACAATAGATAAATGAATAAAGAAAATGTGATATATATATATATATATATATATATATATATATATATAAGCTTTATTCAGACCTAAATAAAAATGAAATTATGTCATTTGCAGGAAAATGAATGGAACTTGAATCCTTTATATTAAGCAAAATAATCCAAACTCAAAAGGTCAAAGGTCATATATTCTCTCTCATATGCAGAAGCTAGAAAGGAAAAACAAAGAGGAAGGTGGGAGGGGCAAGATCTCATGAAAATAAAAGGGAAATCAGTAGAGGAAAGGGACCAGTGGTGGAAGAAGGGTAGGGAAGGGGTAAGTGCTGAGGAGTGATATTGGCCAGGTTGTTTATCGTGTGCATGGAAGAATAAATAAGAACAAATTCTATCAGAATGTACAACCACAGTGCACCAATATAATATGGAAAGGAAAATGCAAATGAAAATGAAGAACTTATCCTTTTTTTTCTACTTTATGCCTCCAGAATTCAGAAACTTTTATTGAACATTCTTATATCTGTGGCAATATAGTTATTTGCACATATTCAATAAAATACTGCTCAACTTGTAACATAACACAATTGGAAATAATGCATTTATTATGAAGGTTTTGTCTGCTGTATTATCATGCTTGAGAATAATGTGCTAAGAATCAAATTTAAAGAGATTGATGGAGCTAATGGTGATAGAGTCCCCTTGGGGGGAAAAAAATCAGCCTGATACCTTGCTTTCAGACTACCACACGTAAAGTTAAATAAAGATGATCTCTTCTTGGAGGCCCAGAAACCTCATGATATCTTGAAGGATCTTAAGAAGAGGAATTGACTCAAATCTGGAAGTTTTACAGGTCAGCTTAGGTGGTTAAGTTCTTGGCTTGGATTCCTAACCTTGAAAATCAAATCTGAGATTTTCTGTGAAAAGTTGCAGAAAGAAAACTCAAAAGGGTATGTATGGTTAATTACTATTCTTATTGTATTTATCAAAATAATTAGGCCAAAACTAATGAGACTAGATCTATTTTTGTAAAAATCACAAAGCAAGGTGACTCTAGAGAGAAATTTTTTTTTTCATGGAAACTATAGTGCAATATATGTATGTTCTCAGGTCTACTCTTCTCTAGTATCTATTTAAAACTCTCCAAAGTCACTTCTCCATTTCTTATTCCAACTTTCTGACTTGGCATTAATGAAAATTGAAACTATTCTCTTCCCCAAGCTCTACAAGCTGAAACTGGAAAGCTTTATAGAAGCTCCAAAAACATGCTGTGTGTATCGTTCAAAAAGTTTGGCAAATCACCAAATTACCAGAGACCATCACTAAAGGCCTTCAAACTGCAACCAAAAAAAAAAAATGTGTCAGATTCCACTGCCATTTTCACTTCACCATCTAAAGATGCTTTGAGCTCATGACGTAAAAATCTTCTATACTGGCTGCCTTTAAACTCATAAAGTAGGATTCGTCTGTTAATCTTCATTTTTTTAAACTTTTATAAGAATTTCTCTATTAGATGTGTGATAACTTGCACCTTCCAGCATATGTTCTTGACAAACTTACAAATTCCTAACAGGTAATTGAGGTTATCCTTAATGAAAAGAAGAATGACTAAATGACTAACATTATTCAATATATACTTTTAAAATAGACTTATATTGTACAAACTAAAGGATACCCCTCCTTTCCATAAGCAAAAGGAGGCATTGATAGAGATTGTCTCCTTGATCAGAGATCCTGAGCCTCCTCTGAACTCTTTTTCAACTTTCCTTAAATTTGGGATTTGTGTTCATCTCTATGTCATTTTAGCAAGAATCCTGCAAAATAATTTAACCAGAACTCCTCATCCTCCATCTCTGGTCCTCCTGGATATGTAATCAGGTATGCTATACTCCATTATCCCCATGATATTGATTATGCTCATATGCCTTCAGAAAGCTGTTAGATCAGTATAATCAGGACACCTCCTTATTCCTGATTTGTCCTCTTACTATTTTGCACTTACAACCCCCCTGCACCATCATCCTGTTCTTTTATTCTAAATTTCTGCTCTTCCTTCTTGCATTTAGACTTAAGCCCAATGTCTTTCTCCTACTATAAGATGCAATAGTACTAACCTGAATACCTATTTTCATAGCCCTCCTGAAGAAAGTCTTCCTTAAATTTCTTTAACAAGTTTCATAAAAAACTTCCTTCAATATTACTACATAACTGATTATACTCATATGACTGTATACCCTATTAAAGACCAATTCTCATAAAAAGGGAAAACCATGGTTTTCACACAAATATAAAATGAACATCCATTAAAGATTTCATTTAATTCTTCTTTCAATGAGAAGACCAATTCTCATAAAAAGGGAAAACCATGGTTTTCACACAAATATAAAATGAACATCCATTAAAGATTTCATCTAATTCTTCTTTCAATGAGAGAATGTGGCAATGTTACAAATGTGTCAAAGGGGAATCCATAGAACAGATATAGTCCTAGAAAGGACTCTTGCTGTGAATTTACACAAAAGGGCAGAACAGATTCTCCCACAGGAAAACAAGTGAACCTCTTACCTCTACAGACAAATTTATTTGCATATTCAATGTCATTCTTTAGACATGGGTAACAAAAATGCTAATTTATCACCTAGACCTTCTTAGCCTTGGAATCTCAAATAATGAATACTTTTCCATAGGCTCTCATTGTTGAATACATAAAACTCTGGTGTGTTGCTAATTGTAGAACTTTCAGGAATGTGAGTCAAACAAAAAACAACTCATAGTTTTAAGATAGTTAAGCAAACCTGTGAGAGTTAAGTCTACCTTTAAGATACCTTAAGATAGTTAAGCAAAGCTATGAG